ATGGCCCCAAGGCGGCCGAGAAAGCCACCAAGTCGCCCCCAGGAGGGCTCCAGGAGGTCCCCGAAGAGGAATCACTGGTTGTTTCAAGGTTTTGAGTGATGCCAGTGTTCTCGCCCTGTCGGGCTTTCGATACTCTAAGATGGCACAAGAGGCCCCAGAGGTCGCCACAAGGCAGCTCAAGAGGCCCCGAAGAGCGCCCCCAGACGGCCCAAGATGGCCCCAAGACTCCCCAAGAGACCCCAAGACGGCCCAATAGGCTACAAGACCCCCACACGCTCGAGGAGTCTGCCGAGAGGTCCAAATCAGGCCCCAAGAGGGGGCCCAAGAGACCCCCGATCGGCCCGAGGGGCCCCCAAGACACCCCAAAACCGAATCCAAGAAGTTTCCTGGGGGCCTCCCAGGAGACCTCCACGGGCCTCCCGGAGGCCTCCGACCTACAATCCAGCCACGGCGGCGGGATGGGCTGAAGGCCGCTGCATCCGCCGCCCACTGCGGCTTGCCCGGAGGTGCACCGCGCGCTGCATGTCTGGGGCTTCTGGCTTTCTCAGAACTCCCTCTGGGGTGTCGGCCTAGCCCGCCGGCCACCCGGAAGGCCTCGCAGACTCCAAAAAAAAACCTCGCCAGGACGGCCTGGATAGTCGGTTTCTAAAACGGCCACGACGGCCCAAGCTGGCCTGGAAGATGCCTCCAACACGGCCAAGATGGCCCCGAGAGAGCCCCAGATAGCCCCACGCTGGCCACCAACACAGTCCCAAGATGCCTCCAAGAGAGCCCAAGACGACCCTAAAGGCCCCCAATAGGCCTTCAAGACGGCCCAAGAGGCCACTGCCTCAAAGCGGTTTCCCGACGGCCCAAGACGGCACAAGAGGCCCCAAAGATTGCCCCAAGATCGTCCAAGAGGCCTCCAAGATGGCCCCGGGACGGCCCAAGAGGCTCCCAAGACGGCCCCCACACAGGGCCCCAAGACGGCTCGAGAGGCCCCCAAAGCGCCCAAGATGGCCTTCAAGACGACCCTGAAACGCCCCTCCCCAATATGCTGAAGGAGGCCCCCAAGAAGCCTCATAGAGGCCCCCTGACATCTCCCACGGAGCCCCAAGAATGACCCAAGAAGCTTCCAAGAGGTCTCCTCATACTTCTCTTCATCCGAATTATGCGTCGCCCTCCCTCTTTTCATTCTCTTCTTCCTGTCCCACTTGTCCCCCGAAGGGCTTCCACAACGGTCGGGGGGCGGCATGGTCCAGTAGCGCGGCCAAACTTTGCCCGAACGTTTGGCCGCATAGGCTCATTCTAAAAGGTAGGAGGCGGCGGCGACTCGCCGCTGGCATCTCCGATCCGCCACCCGCTGGCGACTCAACGCGGGGGTGCACGGCGCGCCAGACTGCTGAGGTGCAGAACTCTCAGTGGGATCTCGGCACAACCCGCTGGTCGCGCGGAAAAACGGCGCGCGAAATTTCGGATTGTTTGCGGTCGCTCTTGGAAAATACCAGCGGTATCTCCGATGCGCAGGCCACACGGAAAAATAAAATGCATCGGCGTTCCCTCCCATACGGACCAGAAACATCCCAGGTCGTCGGTTTTCCCGCTGCAGACGGCCCCAAGATGGCCTACAAGACGGCCAAGATGGTCTCCAAGACGGCTACGATGGCCCCAAGATGGCCCCAAAGCGCTCCCAGTAGGCTCTCGGCCGATCGCGTTGCCCTCCTGGAAACTCAGCTCCCCACTGGTATCCCCCATGAAGACGGCCCAAAAATGGCCACCAAGACGGCTAAGATGGCCATCAAGAAGGCCGCGACGCCCCCAAGAGAGCCCAAGATGGCCTCAAACGGGCCGAGATGCGCCCACGCATGCATACACGCATACACACATGCAGACAGACAGACAGACACGCGCGCATACGTGAGCGAGCGAGCGAGGGCAGGCGCGCGGAGGACCGCGCCCGTGGAGGGCTGCCAGGCATTGGAAAAACAGCACAAAGAATAGCCACGCGTCAAGAATCCTGCCGACGCGTCAATCAGCCCACCGCTTGCACGGTCGCCCCTGCGACCGGATGCCCGTTGGCTGCCACTGTAGCAATTTCTTAGACCATCTACCGTCAGTCGAACAGCTTGTCTTTGTAAAGAAAGCATATTTCCGTGCTCGTCGCAGAACAACCCACGATCTGAAGCCAGCGTTCTCGTAGGCAGCCTCGGCTCTATGAGTGGCCCTGACCATCCAGCCCACCCACGGCTCCATTTCCTCGTCGCTGAAATCCCCCCGGTGCGACCTCGGGGCGGGGACGATTTTTCGCAACATCCGTCTTCGTTTAGCTTGTAATCGTTGTTCTCTTTCAGCTCTCATTGTTCAACAGCCGCTTCCGTATAGAACTGTAGAGGTAATAACAGCGTCGAAAAAGCTTCACGCAAGACTTGAGGGAATAAGGCTTGTCACATAATTCTGTACGACATCTGCCAAAAGCAGCCCATTCTGGATCCAGTCTGCGGCGAATCTCGGAATCATGGACTTCGTCGAAGCACAGGAAGCGCCCGAGATAAGCAGTGCCAGCATCATGCGACAAAACCTCCACCTTTCCCTTCCCCACCTTCACGTGCGACTGCCGGATAACACCTTTACGGCTGTGCAAATTGGAAAGAATGCTAATCTTCCCGCTATGAAGCTCAAGACCCGCTTCTGCGGCCGCACGGCTGAGGTCCTCGAGCATGCGCTTGACGTGCGCCCGTGTTGTACCCAGCAGTAAGATGTCATCGGCGAACCGCAAGTTGGTCAGGAAAATGCCATCAATCTTTACTACAAAACGTTTCGTCCACCATGTCTGCTTCGAACTGCGCATGACGTCCTCCAACGCAGCGTTGAACAAACTTGGGCTCATGGGGTATCCCTGTTTGGTGCCCCGCTGCAAAGGGAATACAACGCTCCCCATATCAGAAAAAACTGCCCGAAGTGCTTGTCGTTGTGTGGCCAGCACTGCTACGTAATTATCCGGAACCCCTTGCTTCCTCAGCGCGCTCCAGATCGCCGCATGCTTGACCGAGTCGAACGCCTTCTCAAAATCGACTGCGGCAACCCACAAATCCAAATTAAAATCAGACATCTTTTCATACAAGAGCACGACAGATAGCAAGTGGTCATCGCAACTGAAACCTCGGCGGAAGCCCGCTTGATCCACCGACTGTTCGTGAGCGAGAAATTTCACCAGTTGGGAGTGCAGTGCCATGCTGAAAAGCTTACACAATAACGGCAGAATTGAAATTGGCCTGTAATTCGACGGCAGCTGCGGATCTCCCTTCTTGAACAGAACTTTAATGCAAGCTTTCCTCCACGACTCTGGCGGCTCATCCCCCCTGTCAAACTTTGCGTGAAAGCACCAGCTACGATCCCGAGCAAATACTCCCCGCCAGCTTTGAACATCTCGGCAACGATGTGAGCATTATCAGGCGCCTTCCCCCTCTTCATGTTTCGGGTTTGCTGTCTCACTTCCTCAACCGTGATATGTGGAATCGGCTCTGCCCGCTCCCCCCCGTGATGCACAAACTGCCCACATGCGCTTGCATCTGCATACAGATCATACATACACACACTCATTCGTTCATACTAACAAACGTATATGCATGCATATATGTACATACATACATACATACATACATACATACCGACCTACCTACCTACCTACCTACCTACAGACAGACAGACAGACAGACAGACAGACAGACAAACAGACAGACAGACAGACAGACAAGACAGATAGACAGACAGGCAGGCAGGCAGACAGACAGACAGACATGCATACACACACATACATTAATGCATGCCTGCATACATACATACCTAGATGCACGCGTGCATGCATACATGCATGCATGCAGGCATGCTTACGAACATGCAGACATGCATGCCTGCAGACATACAGACATGCATACAGATATGCGTACATACACATCTTCGTAACCACGTATGTACGTGTGCATACATACAGACTGGAATAGTCAAACATACATACTGCCATGCAGACACACATACATATATGCATGCATATACAAATACATACATGCACACACTCGTACATACATAAGTGCATGCATGCACACATACGTACATGCACAAATACGAACGTATCTACATATACATACATGTATGCGTGCATACACATATGCAAGTGTACGTACATACATTATTATATATATGTGTTAATATATATATAAATATATATATATATATAAAAATGTATGTAGGTGCGTGCGTGCGTGCGTGCATACATACATACATACATGCATACAAAAACTCATGATACACACACATACACATACACTCACAAGCATACATACATGCATGCATGCACGCGTGCTATAATATGATCATATGAAAGATAGAGAGCGAGGGAGACCCACGCAAAACAAATAACGCCAAAACGGCTTGACCCAAGACCATGGGTTACTCCTCGCGTCGCGAGGTAGCAATCGTGGTACGCATCCCGATGGGGTGGCCAAGGGGCATATCACGGCCGTCCGCGTCGAGAGGTGAGCTCACCCTTAAGTAGAACGCCTGCTCTGACATCCCCAACGCCCCCCTCCTTGTAGAGCCCAAGGATTACCGCGATGCAGCAGGCGTGGCCGCTCGATGCAGCAGGCGTGGCCGCTCGGCACCCCAGGAGGGAGGTGCCCGGGGGTACATCGTGGGCCACCCCGCGTCCAGAGTTGCCTTCCGGTCCCGGGCCTCTGGCGCTGCAGAGACTCCTCTCCTCCAGTCGCGATGCGGCAGGCACTGCACTCGGGCGCCCGAATGGGAGGGGGCCGACCAGGGGTGCATCACGGGCCTCGTCACGCACCCATACCCAGACTGGTTCCCCCGAGCAGTGCTTGCACTCAGGGGTTGTGACTACCACTGCGCAGGGGCTGGACGGGTCCATCGAGAATTCGACGCGCCGCCGTCCGCTGCCGCCTCAGAGCCGCCGCCGCCGCCGCCGCCTCCGTCGGTGCCCGGTGCGTTGTGCTGTGCCCCACTGGGGCCTTCAACCGGCTGTGCTATGCACGGGCTCAGGTCCTCCAGCAGCTGGTGCAGGGTCTCGCCTCCCAGCCGCTCGCCCTCCTCCCTCTCCTCCTGCTGCTTGATCTCCTCTTGCTCCTCCTCCGCATTCTCCTCCTCCTCCTTCCCCGCCTCCTCCTCCCCCTTCTCCTGCTCTCTCTCCTCCCTCCTCCTCTTCCCTCCTCCTGCTCCTCCTCCTCCTCCTCCGCCTCCTCCTCCTCCTCCTCCTCCTCCTCCTCCTCCTCCTCCTCCTCCCCCTCCTCTTCCACCTCCTCCTACTCCCCCTCATCCCTTGATCTCTGAGGATCGAAAAACAAAAGGTTGGGCCCGTGTCAACTATCCGACTCCCAGAAGCATCCAGAAACATCTGGAGGCTCCCTCCTCCTCTGCCTCCTCGTTCTCCTGCGAACGACGTGGTGCATTACAACGGAGCATTTCCTTGTGGACACGCATGGCGACGCGTGTCCAGCAGGCGCGCGTCTCTCTGAGAGCAGCGCGGGCAGAGACGGTCTCTTCAGGCGGACGCTGCGGAGGAGCGGCGCGCGTGTCTGGACTACCCGCCGTGTGGAGGCAGCCTGTGGAACACGCGCTCGACACCCTGTGAAGGTGCAGTCAGCACCGCACGTGCATGCCGGCAGTCCCCGGAGCGGCGCGCCGAGCCTGTGCGAAGCAGGTCCTCGTCACGGCGCGCAGCCCGTGCAGCTGCGCACACCCTGCGCGGCAGAAGGTCGCGAAGACAGAGCACCACACACGGGACTGGAAGCCCCTGGGGGCCAGCGCGACGAGGGCAGCCAAACATTGCGCACAAGCACGGAGGAGCACGAGACGAACGCAACGTGCAGGTGGCGGACGGCGGCAGCCCCCTGCATGATGCGGGGGCCTGCCCTGGGAGCATGTGGGCACACGTCGGGTTCGTGTCGTGCCGACTTCGGCGTTGGTTTCTGACACCGCGGGGATCGTCTAACCTTGAACGATCGGCCGCTTCCGAAGCGTCCAAATCGTTCCACATCGAACGGTTCTGGGTGGCCCGCGGCGTTCAACGTTGAACGCCGCGGGCGGAGTCGCCGCTGGTCGACACGACACGAACCTACCGTGCGACTGCCCACAACGGCAAAATTGAGAACAGGGGGGGGCGTGCGAGCAGTGCAAATAATGACGACCAATTTTGGTCGCTGGACTTGCACCACGACTTGGACAGTCGTGAACGTAACGTGGAGATGCGAGACAGAGGGAGCAGAATGTGTCTCAATACCAAGCACTACGTTCAAGCAGCGACCAGTAGAGCAGAGGCAGCACAGGGAGGGGTGAACACAGCAAACGCGCGATGTCGAAGCTGATTCACCCACAGAACATGCAGTTAGCAGTGGAGCATGGAACAACTACTGGAACGCAGATGCGAAAGCGCGGCGACACACTCGCGCACACAGCCCCGTCCTCGAGAAAGGTGCACCTTTCTGCCGATCCTGTAGGGTCGCTCGCGCGAGAGGCGCTTGCGCCAGAAGCATACGCGCGTTGTGCGCACGCTTAGATTCCAGCACGGGGAAGGGCACCGTCAAACACGACGAGATCCTGGACAGAAGACCACTATGGATCAGATCGAGACTTGTCGGCATGTCCATTATGTTGGTGCCACTCTGGATGTCTCTCGTGCGTATCTTTTAGCTTTGGCGCCTGTTGGGCAGCCTTGGATCTTTCTGAACCGTTTAAATGGACCTGACCAGGTCGCCTGGAGACGCTCTTAAGCCGTTGTGGGTGCCTCTTGGATAGCATCTGCAGACCTTGCGAAGGTCTGCTGGGCCCTCGTGGGGTCTCGGGGCCCTTTCGGAGTTTTCTCGGGCTGCATTAGCGCAGTCTTGAGGCTTGCTTGAGACGTCATGGATCCAGGTTCGGCATTTCTTGGTGCCCTCCTGGCAACCTCCACAGCTTTCTTGAACGATTGCTGACCTGATAAAGCGAATTCGCCAGCCCCACGGGCCACAAGAATGCTGGATCGACCCTCCACACAGGTAACTCAGGTCAGAGCGTTTGGGTATCTAGCCTGCGCGGACGCGAGGGCGGTCCTGGGTGTTTTGTTCGTGGTCCTGGGGCCCGGCGAGCGCCCCCACAAGCCGTACGTAATCAACGAAAAACCTCGGAAGCCCCCAGCTTTCTGATAAGTTTCCCAAGCCGTCCCCAAAGACACAAAAAAATTAACTCGGTGCGACCCCAATTGTGGGAAAGTTTTCTATTGCTGGGCGCAGTGCTTGGTATTGCCTGGCTTTGCTTGGCATTGCTCGGCATTGCTTGGCATTGCTTGGCATTGCTTAGTATTGCCTGGCTTTGCTTGGCATTGCTCGGCATTGCTTGGCATTGCTTGGCATGAAGCACCCGGGGAACACGGGAAAAACGGGGAAACCGAGGAATCTCGACGGAACGGGCAAAGTAAGCACCCGAGGCACCAACCTCTAACCAAGTGGAAGCCCCTTAGGCAAGCCTGATTGGAGACCTTCTCAGAAGGCTGGAGCGCTTCTGAGAAGCCCCGCCACCTTCTGAGAAGGCCTTCTCCTTCTCACTTCCCCCCCTCGCGCGCCGCCGAGTGCGGTTTGGAGGTCGTATATCTCGGGTCTCCGGCAGTCGTTCGGGACGATCTGCGGGCCCACCCCGGCGAGGCGAGCTACTGGCACCCCTCCCGAGGCTGGAGAGCCGCCGAGAACCGACGAACAAACGCCCGAAGGCCTCGACCCTCGAACCCGAAATTCCCCCCCGCCGCTCGCCGCCGACCCAGGGCGCCGATTGGAATGCTGGGGTCTGCGGGGGGCGTCCCGCGGTGGTCCCGGGGGTGCCTCTGCGGTTGCTCGGGTTGATCAGGTGGGTCACCTCTATGACCACGTAGCCCCGGGCCATCGCTGGGGGAGCAGCGGCGCCGCCGCTGCCCTCCTGCCGCCGGGGCAGCACGAGTCCTCCTCCTCTTCCGCCGCCTTTTCCTCCTCCTCCTCCTCCTCCTCCTCCTCCTCCTCCTTTTTCCTCCTCCTCCTCCTCCTCCTCCTCGCCCTCTTCCTCCTCCTCCTCCTCCTCCTCCTCCTCCTCCTCCTCCTCCTCCTCCTCCTCCTCCTCCTCCTCCTCCTCCTCCTCCTCCTCCTCATCCTCCTCCTCCTCCTCATCCTCCTCGTCCTCCTCCTCCTCCTTCTCCGCCTCATCCACATTTTTGTCCTGCAAAACGCGGCGCACCCGGGGGGAAGCGAGAAGGGGCGGGCCTTTTTCAGATGGATTTGAGGTTCCCTGGTCTTCTGGGAAATTTGTCAAGGTTTCCCAGAAGACACAGAGGACCGTCTGACCTTCTGAAAAGCCCCGCCGCCTTCTGAGAAAGCCTTTTCCTTCTCACGTTCACCCCTTGCTCGCCACCGAAAATCGGGCAGGGACAATCACAGAAACTACACCCCACCAGCCCTTGGGGCGACAGGTGGTCTAAGGAGGGTCTCTTCCCCCTTTCATGAGCCTTCTACCCTTCGGGGAGGGGAACCCTTCCCATCCCCTCCCTGAGGTTTTTTGGGGGGAGGGGGCCCGATATGTCAGAGGGTCCTTTCCTCGGCCCCTGGGAGGGTTAATTTCTGACCCCCCTCACGCGGATCGTGGCCCCCGAAGGGGGGAGCCACATCGAGGACACCCCATCTTTTGACCGACCGTTTCCAAAATGGCCCCAAGAGGCGCTCCAGGGCTCCCAAGTGGCCCCCAAGAGGGCTCCAAGAGCGCCCCTAGAGGCCCCAAGAGGCCCCCGAAAGCCCTCCGAGAGCCCAAAATGACCTCCAAGATGGCTCAGATAGCCTAAGCTGGCTCAAGATGGCCCCCAAGATGCTCCAAGCGGCCCCAAGACCGTTCCGAAACGGCTCGAGATGGCCACGGAGCCTCCCACCTCGCTGCTTGACTATGCCGTGCAGGACGGGCGGGCTACGCGCCGACGGAAGGAAAAAACAGCGAGCAGGAACAGCCCCATCAGAAGCCCCGCTGAGCTCAACGCGGCCAAAATGGCGCGGAACCTGGACCTGGTGACGACTTCCCCAGGTAAAGCCAGAATGTCGGCACACCCATAACGAGAAGAGTCCCCATGCAGGGCTGGTGAGGATACTTTTTGGTTAGCGGGCGCGCGAAACGAGTCGAACGCCGAGCGTGCTAGGGCGGGCCGCGCCAGTAGCGAAGTGAAAAGCAGTGCAGGTGGCGAAGCGCGAGGAGCCAAAAAACTGGTGGGGATACTTTTTTTTTACGGCCGCAGGCGAACGCGCCAGCGGCGGGCGAAGAAGGTCGGGCCGCGACCGGCTTAAATTACCGACGGCTAACGCGCGCGACTAGGCGGCCACAGCGGCGCCGGATGCAGCAAGCAGCAACTGCGGCGAGGGCGAGGCTGACCCCAGGGAGAGCTGAACCCAGGGCAGAGCTGCAAGGTGACCCAGGGAAACCCAGGAAGCCAAATTAGCCAAACCTGACACGCGCTGCCAAAATGGCGCGAAATCAGAAAAGGCGCCAGCCGAAGCGTCGCACACCGACAGATCAAGTAAAGACCGCTCAAAGGTAGGTAAACCTGCGTCCCAGGAGCAATCATGTGCACTGTGGTCCATGCATAGCATAGCAAGACCTGTGAATACATAGCAAGTCAACCGAGCAGGATGGACCACACCCAATGCCAAATATGTACCCAGGGTGCTCGTGCGCAGCCAATGGCGAGTGACACCGGGACAATGAAGGCGGCGCCGGCGGATGCGACGCACGACCAACAGTCATCCGAAGTGCGCCACCTGTGACACCGGTGGACCTGTTGGCAACGCCAGGAGCCAAGTAGGATAGACCACACCCGACCCTGTCGCGACCGCACAGAAACTAAGCTGCATAAGGCTGCCCGCTGGAAGGCCGGGTCACGGCCACACCCAGGAGAAGCCAGAGTGAATTAAGGTGAAACATGGGCGGGCGCGCCCGCGGCTTTAGGTGGCGACCTTCCACTGTTTCTGGTCCTTCCTGGGTGCGCGGCGATCAGCGTGGCCCTTCGCCGCCTGGCGCCCCCTGCCCGCGCCGCCACTTCCACCCAGGTACCGAAGCCGCAACTGCGCCCAGTCAACGCCGAGGTCCAGCGCGTCGCCCATGGCCCGCACGCCGCAGTTATGGCTGCGGAAGGAGGACAGGAAATTGACGCACGTTTGCTGGTCGCGCCGCCGCGGGTCGAGCGCGCCTTTGCTGCCAGGCATGGCGCGCTGCTGGGCGAACGCGTGCCAGGCGCCTGTGAACCTCGCCCCCAGGGTGACCTGAAGCCGCTTTATCGACTCGCCAGGTGTCTCCCCGGGGGGGTCCCACTGGATGCCGCCGATCTTAGCTTTATATAGCTGCTGCCCCGTGTCTGGGTCCAAAGGTTCTGGACAGTGACGCGCGGCGGGGCCCGCTACCAGGGGCGGGGTGGTCAGCGGCTGGTCCTCGGCGCGGCGCCTGCTGCTGCTTCTGCGGCTGCTGCTGCTGCGTCCGCCGCCTGCCGTCTGCCGCCCACCAGACCCGCCAGCGCGGTCGGCGTCGCTACAAGCCAGGTTTCGGCCCAGGGGCGGCGGGGAGACTGGCGGGTCGCCAGTCACAGAGGCTAGGCAGGGCGTCCACCTGCTGCCACGAAGACGCGCTGGGGGGACGTTCCGGCCGCGCTGCCGTCGTTCCTCGGCGCTCGAGCTCGCGCCATTGCCAGGGAGGGAGGGGCCAGGGCAGGTAGTGTCAGCCAGGGGAGTGCGGCGGTGGGTGGTTGCCTGTTCCTGTTCTTGCCCATGCTCCCATTCCTGCGCTGGCGCCACTTCCGCGCCCCCCCCGTGGGCGGCCGGCAGCTCCTGCTCATCGGGCTCTTCCGGCTCCTGCTCCGAATGCTGCTCACGTTCGCTGCTCTGCGACTGTTCCGACCGGTTGGGCCCGCCGCCGGAATCGCCTATGGCTTCGCGAGGCGCGGCGGCTACTGGGGCACGGAAGCCCGGCGGGGACTTGCGGGTTGGCGCGGGCCGCACGGTTGGCCGCCAGGTGAAAGCCGAGCCGCATCCAGCAGCTGGGGCGGAGAGGAGCGCTGCACTGTGGTAAGCGGGGGCAGGCCCCTCCCGCTGGCGCTCGCCTTCAGACCCGCGCCCGCCCTCGTCCACGAGCGCGCCCCCATCAGTCGCAGCGTGACTTTCGCCATGTGTGGGAGTGCTGCGGGTCGCACCTGGCCCAGGCACGTTGTCAGACACCGTTTCTTTCGCCAGGACGGGAGTCGCCTTCCCAAGCGCGGCCCGGCCTTCGAGAGGGAGTGGCTGCGGTGCGCTGTCCGTTCGGGCGGATTCGCTGACAGGGGAACGAGGGCGAATGGGCGCGAAGGGACTTCCCTCGACAAGCTGGCGGATGGCCTCGATGTCCTGCCTCTGCAAGGCATGTTCGTGGTTCCCCAGCGAGGGGTGTTCGAAAGTACCAGGGACGGCGGCGGGCGGAGTCGCAGCGGGGCGTTGTTGGGTCTCGCCGCCAACCAGATGTATCGACAGCCCCAGGCTTCCCAAGCAATGGGCTCCGCATCGGCCGTCGGCCACGGGGATGGCCTCGGAGGCGCTGGCTGGAGGGTCTGCGCCGATCGCAAACACGCGCCCGTCTGTGGCCCGCGCGCACCTTCCAGGAGTCAAGCGAAACCTCCAATCGTGAGCGCCCAGGGCCTCTGTCAGTCACACTTTCGCGCACCCCCACGACGCGGGAACTGTAACATCTGACGGCCGCGTTTGGATTTACGACCTCCTGGCTGTCTGTTGCGCGCGGAATGTATCCGATCTCCGCAGTGCCGCCCGCAGCATTCCGAACTGCCGTCGCGATGCTGTTGCCAGGAGAGTGCGCCATTTCGGGCGCACATTCGGCGTCCGCCAAGACTCTGCTCCCAGGGCGCTGGTAGGAGTGAGGGGACGCAATTTCGGCCGCATCTTCCGCCTCAACAACGAGACCGCCCCCGGGACGCTGATAGGAGTGAGGGGTTGTAGGAACGCCTGCTTGGTTGTCTCCTGGAAGGAAAGGCACCGGCGCGCCGTGGCTGACGACCGCCTGTTCGGTCTGTAGCTCTCCCAGGGGACTACTGCAGCTGAAGGCCGCACGTTTCAGCGTGAACTCCTGACTCTCTATGCTGCGAGGAAGCTCGAGATATCCTCCATCATCCGCTCGGGGAGGCGTCGTGGACCTCCATTCGGGAGGAGGCCGGTCTCCGAGCGCACGCGCGCCCTCTGCGGCATTCCCGACTGTCGCCACGATACTGTTGCCAGGGGGGGACGCAATTTCGGCCACATCTTCCGCCTCAACAACGAGACCGCCCCCGGGACGCTGATAGGATTGAGGGGCTGTAGGAACGCCTGCTTGGTTGTCTCCTGGACGGGATGGCAGCGGCGCGCTGTGGCCGACGACCACCTGTTCGGTTTGTGGCTCTCCCAGGGCACTATTGCAGCTGAAGGCCGCACGTTCCAGTGTGAACTCCTGACTCTCTATGCTGCGAGGAGGCTCGAGATATCCTCCATCATCCGCTCGGGGAGGCGTCGTGGACCTCCTTTCGGGAGCAGGCCGGTCTCCGAGCGCGGGCGCGCCCTCTGCGGCATTCCCGACTGTCGCCACGATACTGTTGCCAGGGGGGCACGCAATTTCGGCCGCATCTTCCGCCTCAACAACGAGACCGCGCCAGGGACGCTGATAGGAGTGAGGGGTTGTAGGAACGCCTGCTTGGTCATTTCTTGGAGGGGAAGGCACCGGCGCGCTGTGGCTGACGACCACCTGTTCGGGCCGCAGCACTCCCAGGGGACTACTGCAGCTGAAGGCCGCACGTTCCAGTGTGAACTCCTGACCCTCGATGTTGCGAGGAGGCTCGAGATATCCTCCACCATCCGCTCGGGGAGGCGTCGTGGACCTCTTCTCGGGAGGAGGCTGGTCTCCGACC